GTGTTAGCTAAAATACATGGATTTGCAAAATTTTAAGAGAGTTGAATGCTTATTTCGCTTTCTTTGAGCTTTTTGTTTTTCAAAATCTTGAACCCTATGTGGGGGAGGTACCAGAAGGAATGTTCCGATCTCTACCATTTTTATAACCGATTTTGTGTTAATGAAAATATTGAGATGTACCAAGTCTGAATGGAATAGGATGTTAATTTCGCGTTTTATGAGCTTCATGAATATTCATAATTTTTACCCTTTGTGCGGGAGGTACCAGAACGAATGGGCCGATATATCCCATCATCACAGTTGATCGTATGTTAGTAGAATTTATGGGATGTGTGAAATAAAAAGAGAACCGGATGCTTATTTCGGATTTTATAATCGCTTTGGTCTTTTGTGGGGGAGGTACCAGAAGGAATGGTCCGATCTCTACCATCTTTATAACATATCTAGTGTTGATAGAAATATTGAGATGCACCAATGCTGAATGAAATCGGATGTTAATTTCGAGTTTTATGATCGTTTTGGTTATTTAAAATTTTGACCCTTTGAGGTGGAGGTACCAGAAGGAGTGGACCGATATATCCCATCAACACAGCAGATCTTGTGTTAGTGGAAATAATTGGATGTGTGAAATATGTAGAGAACTGGATGCTTATTTCGGATTTCATAATCGTTTTGGTTATTCCAAAGCTTGGCCCTTTGTGGGTTAGGTGCCAGAAGGTATGGTCCGATCTCTACCATCTTTATAACATATCTTGTGTTGATAGAAATATTGAGATGTTCCAATGCTGAATGGAATCGGATGTTAATTTCGCATTTTATGAGATATATTTTATGAGGATATCCAAAATTTTGACCCTTTGTGGAGGAGGTACCAGGAGTGGACCGATATATTCGATTTTCACACCAGTCCCTGGGTTAATGCAAAATATTGTGATGTGTGTAATATGAAGAGAACCGGTGGTTATTTCAGATTTTATAATCGTTTTGTATATTCAAAACTTTGACCCTTTGTGGGAGAGGTACCCGATAAAGTGGTCCAATCTCTATTATCTTTGTAACAGATCTTGTGTTGGTAAAAATATTGAAATGTGCCAAGTCCGAATGGAATCGAATGTTAATTTAGCGTCTTATGAGCTTCATGGATATTCAAAATTTTTTAACCCTTTGAGGGGTTGGTACCAGAAGGAATGGACCGATATATTCCATCTTTAAGCCAGATCTTGGGTTAATGAAAATATCGGATGCGTTTAATTTCAAGAGAATCGGACTCTTACATCGCATTTTATATGAGTTAAAATGATCCAAAATTTTTTACCCTTTGTGAGGGAGGTACTTTATGGAGTGGACCGACATTGTCGATTCTCGGACAATGATGGAAATATTAGAATTTGCAAAGTTGGGCAAAATCGTATTATTCTTTCTGCGAAGAATTTTTTTTTTAAATTTCGACGATTTGTGGGGGAGGTACCAGAAGGAGTAAACCTATAATGCCCATCTTCGAACTCGATCTAAGTTTGACAATAATATTACGAAGTACCAAGTTTGAATCGAATCGGATACTTCCTTTGAGAGTTATCGTGCACACCAGCCGCTAGATCGACTCCAAATGTCCTGAATCGCATTTGTTCCAAAGAGACCTAGGGTCTTAAATGCCTTATTTTGATGAGGCACGTTTTGCTGTATCAAATGATATATACCCTCTCTAGCCATATGACTGAGGGTATAATAAAAATTCGACACAGGAAAGCTATTTTAAAATTCTCTTAAGCATTTCTCTTTCAATATTTGGCCCATCTATGCATTAACTAAATTCTCTTTCATCAAAATTTTCAATATCTGCCACAGGAGTTGTATTTCTTTTAAATTTTATGCAAATAATTTTCCATTTCCACTCCCATGGCTGCAGGCCATGATTGTATTTGTTTACAAAAATGTGGATTTCCTCCTCCCCCACTCTCCCCCCCTCGACCGCAAAACAAACAACAAATTTGGCCTCTCATAATTGTTGACATAAATGTTTGTAATTAATATCACCATCACAAATTGTGATTGACATGTTATTTATGACCGAATCATTTCCTTTTTTTGGAAATATTTATTGGCTCTCGTGTTTGCATAGCTTTGTTGAACATAACTAATATTAATTAAACATTTGATTAATTTGTATGCTATAAATATGAAATTCATATTTTCTAACAATTTAATTTTTCTTCTTCATATTTTATGTTTATTTTCAAAGAATTTCCACTCTTAACTGCTGACCTGTGTGTGTGTTTATTCACATAACGACATTGAAAATCCAAGGCTAGTTGCCCAAACTGGTCCAACAACAACAACATCGAAATTAATTAAATTTTTTCGTGGTTGTTTTCGAAAAATTTTAATGAAAAATGCCACGCAAATATTTAATTCACGCATAATTGTTAACAGTTTACAGTTATGTGATCGAAAAATGTGGTGTTGTCGTTGTTGTCCTCGATTTAATTTTGTGACACAAGAGTGGTGTAATAGATTTGAATACAAGTTAGTTGTGGTTAACAAAAAATTTAATAATAGCAAAAAAAAAAAAAACGAAAAAATATCCAATTTAAAACTTTACAATCATTTATTGATAAAGGTGCGGGGGAGATTAAAATTTTGGAATTTAATGATTAAAAAAAAATGTTTATAAAAAGATCGATCGTAGCGTTAGGAAAATTCGTAAAACTGTGAAAACCACCCTACATAGTATGGAGGGTATATTGAGTTCGTCATTCCGTTTGTAACTCGTCGAAAAAATAATTTTAGATCTAACAAAGTATATATATTCTTGATCTAAGTAAAATTCTAAGACGATTTAGCCCAGCCCGTCTGTCCGTCTGTTGTAATCACGCTAGAGTCAAAACGAATAAAGACATGAAGTTAAAATTTTGTACAGATCACAGTCTTTTGTCTGCAGGCAGGTCAAGTTCGAAGATGGACTATATCGGGTCACGATATCGTATAGCCCCCATATAACGATACCCCTGATATTCGGTATGTTAATGATTGTAGCCAAATGTATCAATAAAATTATCTGAAAATCCACAGAAGAAGTTCCTTCTGAGTACTTTACCCCCTGGAAGAGTATCATCTATTGTGGCCCACGATATCTTATATCCCTCATATAACGGTACCTCCCGATATTCGGTATTTTGTTGATTTTAGCTACATTTTTCAATGGAATCCATACTAGAAGATCATTTTAAATTTAGGAGAGAAATGTCTATATAGGTCTACCATACAACGGTACACCCCGATATTCGGAATTTTGACTATGTTAGAGACATTATTAACCGGAGTTATTTCAAATTTCGTATTTGGAATTCGTATAATGCACTAAAGCCTATGACAAAAAAAATGCGTATGCAGGCCCACTTCTTCCTATGGCCTCCATATAACGGTACCTTCCTATAATCGGTATTTTGAAAATTTTAGGTACAATATTCACCGAAATTGTTGGAAATTTCGTATTTGAAGTTCCTAATAGGTACGACAGGCTATGAAATTGTCTTCGTATAGGCCCCCATATATCAGTACCTTCATATATTCGTTATTTTGATGATTTGAGCTACATTATTCACCCGATTTTTTTAAGTATAGTATTTGAATATTGCAATGGCTTATGACAACGGCTGCCTATGCAGGTCCACGTCTTCGTATTGACTCTAATATGACGGATAGATTCGGTATTTTTAAGATTTTAACAGAATTTTCAACGGATTTTATTTTTTTTTTTCGAAAATTGGCAAATTTGTTCCAAATGGTAAAGCGTATTCAAAATTAGGCCCGGCCGAACTAACTGTTTTTTACTTGTTATACATAATTTTTATGGACTGCAATCCACTTAGAATGCACAATGACAAATTTCATGCGCTTTAGTTCGAAAATTTAAGGGAATCCTTTATATGGGGGTTTGACCCAATAGCGGAAAACTTTTCAAAATATTTTCCCAATCTCAACCCTAACCCTGCTGTGTTCGCCAAGACTGAACGCTAACCAAATACGATTGCGACCAAATTTAGTTCATATTTTTCGTACACTAATTGTTCCAAGTTCCGAAACCTTCAGCACATACCCTGAATTTAATATTTCCAAATTCGAGCGGAAATACTCTCTTAAAAACGTGTGGACTCTCATTCTTGCTTTTCACACAGAAAATCTTGCAAACGCTCCTACATAAAATAAAAGAGTGAAATTTTTGAAAAACTCGTACACTTCAAGAATTCTTACTCGTGAATATACGAAAATTGGAGTAGGGAAATGAACCATTTAAAATGCAGTCGTGATCAAAATTTGCATTTAGAGAATTCTCGCTCGCGAGCACTCAGCACTCGCGAGTAAAATCAACCAAATCTGAGCTGCAGTTTGTAACACCTCGAAATATTTATACCACCACCCATGTCTTGAATGGTGATGACATGTGTGATCCCTCCGTCAGTCTCCATAACTTTTATTTTATTACAGATCGGAACTATGGACTCATCGTCATGACATTTTGTATGAATGAAGCCTAACTAGAAAGGTTTGTGAAATTGACAAAAACTATAGCTAAAGTGTTGGGCGCCACTTTCTCCGAATTTTTCATTCATTTATTTTTAAGTGAGAATTCCATGTTTTTGAGTAAAGGTCATGCATCTGACTAGTAAAATGTCATCCTTTTGGATAAATATAGCCTCCACGAAATATTTAGATTATATATTTAATTCTTAAAATCCTTCAGATGGAAAACGGGTTACACCGATCAATTTTGATGAGTTTAGCCACATTTTGTTATTGTGTTGAAAATTGGAAAACATTTTATTTGTTCCGTACAGGCACGGAAAAAACAACCATTTAATCTCTTTCAATTGGAAGACCCAATAGATTCTAAATAATTTATATTTTTTCCAAAGCAGACTTTCTCGATTACTGTATCGAAGTAAATTATTAGGTTCATAACCTCTCTATTTAATAAACTCAAATTCCATTCGTTGACTTACCTTCAAAATCATTTTCTGTATATTGTTGACTAAAATCCTGATCACCAATTATGCGAGGGTCCTTGGAGGCCTCATCATCACCGCTGGAAGTATGCATGGTCCAGGGTCTGTAAATAAATAAATAAATGTGAAGAGAGAAAACATTAATACGTTTCGTTTGCCATTATTGACTTTATACGAAATACTCAATCACTCAAACATAAAAAAAATAATTACTAATTACTTAAATAAACTTTTCAATAGACGTACATATTTCATTGCGAATAAATTATTTGCGGCATTCGATAATCACAGAATAAACAAAGTGTAAATGTTTAAAATTATAAACTTAAGACTATTAACGCCCTTTTGAATAAATAAATATTTGTTTGTATTTCTTGTTTTTTTGTTTTGTATTAATCTGAGGAGTGGAAGGAGGAGATGTTAGGGTGATTTTAATAATATAAATTATATAAACATTACTATTTGTTGTTGTTTTGGTTTAATAAATAGCAAAAACAAAGTATAAATTAACAAGGTTTGCCATGTTAAGACTATAATCTGCCGGTATTATGAACGGTTACACCTTTTCCACTTGGTGTGACGTTGTCATAAATTCGTAATGGATTAGTTAATGCCAACACATTGTATGACCACCATTACACTAGGCTACAATGAAATATTTAACAAATTTCGAAATATTGTTTTTAGATTTATGGGACAATATAAGTGAGCTTTTATTGTCTAGTGGACGATGTTTTATGAGCTTCAGAATGGAATTGAACAATTTCGTTCACTGATTGGAGCAAGCACCTTCTTCTTTTGCTTATGTGGAACTAGTTCAACGAGTTCAATTTTTCATATGTCTCTTTATAAATATTTTATTGTTTGTTCGATAGTTCTGATTAACAAGTAAATAATAAAAGAAGATTTTATAATGTTTGCAAGATTTATATAGGTGGGGAGCTACTTTTTATACCCTCCACCATAGTATGGAGGGTATATTAAGTTTGTCATTCCGTTTGTAACATCTCGAAATACACATTTTAGAGCCCATTCAGTCGATTTAGCGATGTCCGTCCGTCTGTCCGTTTGTGGAAATCACACTACCTTCCGAACAAAATAGGTTGATAAAATTTTATTCAAATGTATATTATATCTGCAGGACTTTTGGTATTGAAAAAGGGTCATGTAGGTCCACGTTTTGGTATGGCCCCCATATAATGCCACCTCTCTTTTTTTTTGGTATTTTGATGATTTTAGCGACATTATTCACTGGAATTGTTTCCAATTTGGTATTTGAAGTTCGTAACGGATGCTACACCCTATGACTGAAAATTGTCTGTGCAGGTCCACGTCTTCGTGTAGCCTCCATATAATGGTACCTCCCGATATTTGGTATTTTGATGATTTTAGCGACATTATTCACCGGAATTGTTTCAAATTTGGTATTTGAAGTTCGTAACGGATGCTACAGCCTATGACAGAAAATTGTCTGTACCGATCCACGTCTTCGTGTAGCCTCCATATAACGATACCTCCCTTTTTTCGGTATTTTGGCGATTTAAGCGACATTATGAACCGGAAATGTTTCAAATTTGGTATTTGAAGTTCGTAACGGATGCTACAGCCTTTGACAGAAAATTGTCTGTGCAGGTCCACGTCTTCGTGTAGTCTCCATATAACGGTAGCCCCCGATATTCGGTATTTTGATGATTTTAGCGACATTATTTACCGGAATTCTTTCAAATTCCGTATTTGAAGTTCGTAACGGATGCTACACCCTATGACAGAAAATAGTCTGTGCAAGTCCGCGTCTTCATATAGCCCCCATATAACGGTACCTCCCGATATTCGGTATTTTGATGATTTAAGCGACATTATTCACCGGAATTGTTTCAAATTCCGCATTTAAAGTTCGTAATAGGAACTACAGCCTATGACAAAACATTGTCTGTGCAGGTCCACGTCTTCGTGTAGCCTCCATATAACGGTACCTCCCTTTTTTCGGTATTTTGGTGATTTAAGCGACATTATGCACCGGAAATGTTTCACATTTGGCATTTGAAGTTCGTAATAGGTACTACAGCCTATGACAGAAAATTGTCTGTGCAGGTCTACGTCTTCGTATAATCTCTATATAACAGTACCCCCGATATTCGGTACTTAGATGATTTTAGTGTCATTATTCACCGATGTTTTTTTGCAAGTTTCGCATTATGACAAATTTTGCCTATGTAGGTCCACGTCGTCGCATACACCCTAATATAAGGGCTACATTCGGTATTTTTAAGATTTTAACAGAATTTTTAACGGATTTTACTTTTTTTTTTGAAAATTGCCAAATTCGTTGCAAATGGTGGAGGGTATTCAAAGATGGGGCCGGCCAAACTTTCAGCTTTTTTTATAACCTCAAATTTTACTTTTAACATAAGCCCACTTTTATTTTTATCATAGCCTCAAGTTTTGACAGAACACCCACAGATTTTTCAAACTGCCTACTTTTACAAAAGTTCCCATTGCAATTTAAAAATGCATTTTTTATTTAATTTTGTAGCATCATGTAATCGTCTGTCTGTTGAATCCGAGTTATGACTGGTCCCACAGACTGTGGCTGTGCTTCTCAATGCCTATAGAAAAAACCAACTACCTATTCAGACTGTGAGTGGATTAATGCATTAGCATTAGAATCAACCTGTCTAATTATTTCAACTTGTTTAGCCATCCATCCATCCATTGGCATCATCCGACAGACAGACAGACACACACATCGGAATTGACAACATGCCGTCGGACACCCTCACTGTATTTCCATTGGAAATATTTCCATAATGAAGATTATGACGACGAACAATCGCATTGATGCCGCCGCCAGTGGTGATGATGGTGATCCCACAACTACTGCTGATAATGAGCAATGGCTTATTTGCATAAAAAACAAATGATTAGCATTTCCAACAACACCAACAGTAATAACAACAACAAGAACAGTCTTCATCAAATGATTCATAAAAATCACAACACAGGAGCGGAACAATTCTCAAAGTGTCCAATGCAATCGATGTACGGTGCTGCACTGGCATTTATGGAAGGAGGAAGAAGGAAGGATATTCAAATTGTCTGATATTATCAATACAAAACGAAATATTTCTGATTTGAATTTGGTATTCAGATTAGTTGCGAGATTATATTTTAGGAATTTGTTTAAGACAATTTTTATTAGACATTTTGAGCACTACGTTTTGTCTACGAGTAGTTGATTTGTTGACAACAACGATTTAGCTCCTAGGCGTCTTTTCAAACGATTATACAGTTATATAAAAGCGATAACGAAGATATAAAACATTATAAAGCCTAAATAAGTATATGAATTAACTAGTTCCTCTATACTTAAGAAACGGGATCTATGCAGTGAACGAAAGTGTGCAACTCTAAAAAAAAAAATTTCAGTCGGTTTTGCCAACAGATGTGTACCCTCAGCCAATATTCGATTACTTAAATATATTTTGACTCATGTTATGATAATTGAAATTTTTGGCCCTTTGTGGAGTAGGTTCCGGAGGAATGGGCCAATATTGACCATTTCGTAGCGGAGCAAAATAAATATGACATAAATATTGGGACGTGCCAGGCTTGGATTATATTGGTTACTTCCTTCACTTTATATGATATATGTGATCATTTTTAGAAAATGATAAAACGCGCGTTAGGTACAAGATATAGTCGGCTGAAGTATTCAATTTCATATTTACAAATACAGATACAAATATTGGCATGGGCAACATTAAAGAAAATATAACATTTATATCCAATTTTATGAAATATCACCAATTTCATAATTCATCTCAGGTTTCTGGTTGAGAGAAATATTTAGGTATAGCAAGTTGTAAAGAATGTCGGACTTGTTTCATTATGACTGATGTTTCGTTTTGACTGATAAAAGTATTAAAAATTGTGACCCTTTGTGGACGGTACGGGGTTCGCAGATATATATCATCTACACGACAGACTTTGTGTTATCAAAAACGTTTGTAGGTGTGAAATTTGAGGAGAGTTGGATGCTTATGTCACTTTCTTTGAGCGTTTTGTTTTTCAGAATTTTGAACCCTATGTAGGGGAGGTATCAGAAGAAATGGTCCGATCTCTATCATATTTATAATAAATCTTGGTATTGATCAGATATACCAAGTCAGAATGAAATCGGCTGTTGATTTCGCATAATATGAGCTCCATGGATATTAAAAACTTTGACCCTTTGTGGGGAGTGTACCAGATGACCAGGGAGGGGACCTATATATTCCATCTGCACAATAAATAGTTTTGGTTATTGAAAACTTGGACCGTTCGTGGGGTGAGGGGGAGCGAGATACCAGAAGGAATGGTTCGATCTCTATCATATTGAGATGTATCAAGTCTGAATAGAGCCGGATGTTAATTTCGCATTTTATGAGCTTCATAGGTATTCAAAATTTTGACCCTTTGTGGGGGAGGTACCAGAAGGAGTGACTCGGTATATCCCACCTTCACAGCAGATCTTGGTTTAGTAGAAATAATGGGATGAGTGATATATGAAGAGAGCCGGATGCTTATTTCGAATTTTATAATCGTTTTGGTTATTCAAAACATTGTCACTTTGTGGGGAAGGTACCACAAGGAATGGTCCGATCTTTACAATATTTGTAACAGATCTTTTGTTTATGGAAATATTTAGATGTGCGATGTCTGATTTGAATCGGATGTTAGTTTCGTGCTTTATGAGCTTCATGAATATTCAAAATGTTTGCCCTTTGTGGGGGAGGTACCGGAAGGATTGGACCGATATATTCCATCTTCACACCAGACTTTGGGTTACTAAAAATATTGTGATGTGTGTAATTTGAAGAAAATCGGAAACTTTCGCCACATTTTGTAAGAGTTATAATTTTTCAAAGTTTTGACCCTTTTGGGAGCGAGGATATTGTCCATTTGGAGTAGACCGATATTGTCTTTTTTCGCATCTGACCTAGCACTGATGCAAATATTAGCAAAATCGGATTATCCTTCTCTTTCTGTGCAATAAATTATTTTCATTGAAAATGTTGACATTTTGTGGGGGAGGTAGCAGAAGAAGTGGATTGATATTGTCCAT